ATAAAGCTATTTTGATTAAGATAGTATAATATCGCTGATGAATAGGTTACATTCATTAGATTATTTAGTTTACAACATTTTCTAATTTCCATTATATTTTCTTTTATCCAGAGGTATTTAGAAATTTACTGCTTAATTTCAATGTATTTAGGAATTTTCTAAATATAGAGTTATTGATTTCTAGTTTAATTTCTTTATTATTAGAGAACATATTTTTTGCAATATTTTAATAATTTGGAATGTGCTAACATCTGATATATGAACCAGTACATGATCTATTTGGTAAATATCCCATATGAACTTTAAAAGAATGCATGGTTTTGCAATTAGATGTCAAACTGATCAGGTTGGCTAATGATACTATTTAAATCTTCTACATCTTTACTGACTTTTTCTTTTAAGTTTTAAACAATTGAGAAAAATTCCTAGAAAGATAAAATGGACCAAAATTTTTCTCAAGAAGAAATGTAAAACTTTATTAGTACTAATGTAACTATTGCATTATAAGTATAATGAAATTGACTTAACAGTTAAAAGTCATCTCACAAAAAACAACAGGCCCAGACAGTTTTATAGGCAAGATCTATCAAAATTTTAAAGAACTGTTTGCTCTAATTTTTAAAAATTTTTAAAAATATTTATTTCTGAGAGAGAGAAAGAGCGTGAGCAGGAGATGGGCAGAGAAAGAGGAAGAGACAGAATCTGAAGCAGGCTCCAGCACTCTGAGCTGTCAGCACAGAGCCTGACATGGACTTGAACCCACTACCATGAGATCATGACCTGAACCGAAGTCCAGCGCTTAACCTACTGAGCCACCCAGGCGCCCCTCTAATTTTTATTACAAACTCTTTTTGAAGATAGAAAAGAAAGCATTTGCTAATTCATTTTATAAAGCTAATGTCACATGGAATATTATACTTGCCAAAGACAAAAATGAGAATGGAAAATTGTAAATTCAATTCATTTGTGAATGAATATAGATGCACAATTCCTAAACAAGATTTTCATGAACTGAATCAATAGTATATAATAAGATATTGCACCTTGAAAATATTAGGTTTATACAAAAACTTAAAGATATATTACTTACTACATTAACAGAGTAGAGGTGGAAAACCAGATGATCATCTCAATAGGTTCAGAAAAGATATATGATAAAATTCATTTTCCATTTATGATTTTTGAAAACTTACAGTAAACCAGTAGAGGAGAAGTTCCTTAATATGATAAGGTAAAGTGTACCTACCAAACCAAACTATAGCAAATATTAACTCAAATATTGGAAGCACTCCCATTAAAATCAGAAAGTTATGCTCACTAAAATCAGAAGTCATGTCTGCTACTACTATTGCTATTCAACATTGTATTGAATGTCCAATGATACAAGAAGAAGAAAAGAAATACATAAGGATTAAAAAAGTAGAAATAAAACTCATTATTTCTACAACTTATTTTTGTTTCTACATTAATAAAACCCCCAAATGTCTAAGAATTTATAGGGAATGGTAGTTTAATAAATGTTTCAATATGAGGCTAATCCATTAAAGTCAGTTACTCTTTGCCCAAGCAACAACTATAAAACATAATTAAAAACACAACAATGAAACCAGTTATAGTTAGCAACAAAAACTAATGGGGCGCCTGAGTGGCGCAGTCGGTTAAGCGTCCGACTTCAGCCAGGTCACGATCTCGCGGTCCGTGAGTTCGAGCCCCGCGTCAGGCTCTGGGCTGATGGCTCCGAGCCTGGAGCCTGTTTCCGATTCTGTGTCTCCCTCTCTCTCTGCCCCTCCCCCGTTCATGCTCTGTCTCTCTCTGTCCTAAAAATAAATAAACGTTGAAAAAAAAATTAAAAAAAAAAAACAAAAACTAATGTATCTAGCAATAAATGTCACAAAACTACTTTCCTCAGCACCCCAAATTATAAAAAGTTTATTGAAGGAGATTAAGAGAAATATCTCATGCTTACAGGTTGGAAGACATTATCATAACAGTATTGAGTCCTTTCAAATTGATCCATAAATTTAATATAACTTCAAAAAATTCAGCTAACACTTTGATTCTAATATTTATATGGAAAGGGTCAAAATAGCTAAGACTGATAATAATTAGAAGAATAAAGGGGCGCCTGGGTGGCTCAGTCGGTTAAGTGTTCGATTTCGACTCAAGTCATGATCTCACAGTTTGTGAGTTTGAGCCCCACATCCGGCTCTGTGCCCACAGCTCAGAACCTGGAGCTTGCTTTGGATTCTGTGTCTCCCCCTCTCCCTACCCCTCCCCCACTCGCACTCTGTCTCTCTCTGTCAAAAATAAGTAAACATTAAAAAAAATTATTTTTAAAAGAATGTGGCTGGGGTGCCTGGGTAGTTCAGTTGGTTAAGCGACTGACTCTTGATTTTGGCTCAGGTCATGATCTCATGGTCGTGAGACTAAGCCCCCACATTGGGCTCCCATGCTGACAGCATGGAGCCTGCTTGAAATTCTGTATCTCTGTCTCTCTCTCTGCCCCTCCCCCCCCTCAAATTAGGTAAACATCAAAAAAAAAAAAATATGGTCGTACTATATAGGACTTTTATAAAGCTTTTTTGATTAAGATAGTATACTGTTAGTGCTGATACAGACAAATTGTTGAATGAATCAGAACTGAGAGATCAGAAACAGTGTGTGTGTATGTGTATAAATATATACATATATATATTTATGCATATATATACAACATGCATATATGTGTAACTCTTATTTATGACAAAGATCATATGGTAGACTGCATGAGGAGAGGAGGCTTTGGTAGAGTTCTGAAAATTTTGTTACTCATATGGAAAAAAATCAAATTGGTTTTCTATCTCACAGCTTACACAATAGCAACTCCTTGTGGGTTGAGAACTTACTTAAATATCAAAAGCAAAACTTAAAAACTAGAGGAATGTACGGGTGCCTGGGTGGCTCAGTCGGTTAAGTGTCCAGCTTTGGCTCAGGCCATGATCTCACGGTTCATGGGTTCAAGCCCCACGTCGGGCTTTGCTGACAGTGAGGAGCCTGGAGCTGCTTCAGATTGTGTCTCCCTCTTTCTCTCTGCCCCTCCCCGACTTGTACTCTCTCTCTCAAAAATCAAATAAACATTAAAAAATATACTTTTATAAAATGGAGGAATGTATATGATGTCTTTATATTTTGTATAAGGAATAATTTCTTAAACATGACAAAGTGCTAATCATAAAATAAATTATGAATAAAATCTGTTACATTAAGAATTTCTTGGGGCGCCTGGGTGGCGCAGTCGGTTAAGCGTCCGACTTCAGCCAGGTCATGATCTCGCGGTCCGTGAGTTCGAGCCCCGCGTCAGGCTCTGGGCTGATGGCTCGGAGCCTGGAGCCTGTTATCGATTCTGTGTTTCTCTCTGTCTCTGCCCCTCCCCCATTCATGCTCTGTCTCTCTCTGTCCCAAAAATAAATAAAAACGTTGAAAAAAAAAAAAGAATTTCTTTTCACCAATAACAGCTTAAGGAAAGTGAAAAGGCAAGCTCTAAATTAGGAGAGTTTTGCCATACGTGTAACTAACAAAGGACTAGCATTCAAAATATATAAAGAACTACTGTAAATTGAGGAGAAGACAACCCTAATAGAAAAATGAACAAAAGGCATGTGTTCACCTTATCAGTGTTTAATGTGTATGAAAACCATAATGAGATACCACTCACTCATTTTATTCCTATGCAACTGACAAAAATTAAGAAGTCAGACAAAACCAAGTGTTGGAAAGAATATGGATGAATAGGGTCTCTAAGAAGCTTTTAGGAGTGGGTGAGGAGTGAAAATTCGGTACAACCACTCTAACAGATTGCATCTTGATGCAATTTAAAAAAATTACAACCCAGAAATTCCATTCAGAGTACCTCTTATATATATGTAGTTTGATGCAAACAATCTTAGAGAATTATTTCAGTCTGTAGAAAGTTGTGAGATAGTTTTCAGCTCTGAAGATGTTTTTCCATACAAAATATTGTTTATCCAGCATCCTCAAGTCACATCAGTTGTGTACTCATGTGATAGGCAAGGAGCTTCGTCAAAGAAAATGTATATTTGATATCCTCAAAAAAGGGCCTGTGTTCTGAGGCTGAAATAAGGTTGGCAGGTAGTACTGGAATCAAATATGAATAGATAATAATAACTGATAGTATTAATAGAAGTCACTATTAATAATAGTGCTATTAATAATATTTTTAGTAGAGGTCATTATAAAGCACATACCATTTGTCTGGCTCTTTGGCCTTCATTTAATGAACATTATTTAATTGTCACAAAACCTTTCTGATATAAGCACTATTCTCAGTCGTGTTTTTCAGATAGCTGATAGTGAGCCATTGGGGGTTAAATAATTTCCACAGCTTCATATATGTGTACGTTGTGACGCTGGGATTTAAACAAAGACTGACTCCAACGTCTGAGATAAGGCAATATGGAAACTGTCATCCTTTGGATATAAAATCAATTTTTCTTCACTTTGCTGAGAGAACAGCTCTGATTCATGGCTATAGGCAGTGGTCCTGTTGTCTCCAGATGCTTTGTACTATTGTTCAGAAAGTATTGGAATATATCTGTCTCCAATAATGAAAAACTAAAATTATATGTTAGATTTGCAATATTTCAGTGATACTATCTTATAGATGAACAATATAATATAAAGAGAGATACAGTTATCAAGGTGATACAATTATTTATATACATATATATGTATATGTATATATGTAATCTGAAGATTCATTTAAAATAACACCAAAAGATAAAATTGGCTTGTTTTTCTCTAGTTATCAGACTTCTTACTAAGTATAGGTATTCTCTTTTTATTGCACTTCGTTTTATTGTACTTCGCAGATACTGCGTTTTTACAAATTGAAGGTTTGTGACAACCCTGCGATGAGCAAGTCTGTAGGCACCATTTTTCCAACAGCATTTGCTCACTTTGTGTCTCTGTGTCACATTTTGGTAATTATTGCAATATTTCAGACTTTTGAGTTTGATGACTTCAAGGGGTTCAAGACTTCAGTAGAGGAAGTAACTGCAGAGGTGACGGAAACAGCGAGAGAACTAGAATTAGAAGTGGAGCCTGCAGGTGGGACTGAACTGCTGTGATCTCAGGATAAAACTTGAACGGATGAGGAGTTGCTTCTTATATATGAGCAAAGAAAGTAGTTCTTGAGATGGAATCTACTCCTGGCGATGATGCTGTGAAGATTGGGAATATGACAACAGAAGGTTTAGACTATGACAGACTTAGATGATAAAGCAGCAGCAGGGTTTGAGAGGATTAACTCCAATTTTGAAAGAAGTTCTGTATGTGTAAAATGCTATCAGACGGCATTACATGCTACAGAGAAACCATTCATGAAAGGAAGTCAATCAGTGCAGCAAACTTTATTGTTGTCCTATTTTAAGAAATTGGCACAGTCACCCCAGACTTCAGCGACCTGATTAGTCAGTAGCCATCAGCATCGAGGCAGGACCCTCCACCAGCACAAAGATTACAACTTGCTGAAAGCTCAGATAATGGTTAACACTTTTTAGCAATAGTTTTAAATTAAAGTATATACATATATACTTTTTTAGACATAATGCTGCTGCACACTTAATAGACTACAGTGTTGTGTAAATATAACTTTTATATGACTTGCTTTATTGTAGTATTCTGGAACTGAGTCTACAATATCTCCAAGGTGTGCCTGCAGACATAATGGAGGATGTCTTTTAAATATATTTTTAAAGATTTAAATGAAAAGTTGTTTAAGAGCCCAGTTGGTTCAAAATTAACATTATTGAGGGTTGGTTTGAGGTTAGGTCATATATCTGATGTGAAGAATTAATTGGTATATGTCTTGGCTTTCTGTTCTTTTGATACAAAACAAATGAGCCCATTTATGTGGTGTCCAAGAGTTATTTGATTTCCACTAAAGAGGCAGAATGTTATAGTAGAAAGGCCTGGGATGAGAGTTTAGATACCTGGGATCTAATCTCAGGTTGACAGTTACTAACCCTGTGAACTTGGATCTATTGCTTACTAATGGGCACTCTCTTGGAAAAGTTACTTAACCCAGTTCTTAGTTTCCTTGTGTCAAAAGTACAGATAATAATAAATACCTTGCTGGAATGTTAAAACAATAGTAACCCAAGAAAGCATCCATGGTAGATTGCCTGATACAGAAATTCCATATCCTTTTCTTGGGCAAGGTTAGTTACATCTTTCGCTTTAGTTTCCTAAATCTATACTAATACTAATAGCATTTGTTATGTACCAGCCACTGTTCTAAGTGTGTTACATGAATATATTAATTCACAGCAACCTTATGAGGTAGGCACAGAGAGGTCAAACAACTTGCTTAAGGTTATTCAGCTAAACAATGGGGAAGCCTTTATTCAAATCCCACAGTCTGGTGCCAGGGCCTCTATTTTTAACCACTACACTGTACCTCCTTTCTAAAGGAAAGGGTTGTAGACTTTATCAGTAGGTTATTGCCTGTTATGCTGCATAATAAACAACCACAAAACCTCAGGGGCATAGAACAATAAGCATTTATTGATCACACATGTTGAAATGGTTGGTAGACAACTGTTAATCTTGGCTGAGCTGCCCCATGTGGCTTGGGGTTGGTTTGCTGTGGGGTTGGTTGGGACTGGGCAGTTTGCCTCTGCTCCAAGTGTCTCTCATTCTGCAGCAGACTAGTCTGGGAATATTCTCATGGTGAATGGGAGAAGTGAAAGAGCAAAACGGAAAAACACAAGTGGTTTTCCAAGCCTCTGCTGTCTCATGTCTGATAAAGCACATCACATGGCTGACCCCAGAGTCAAAGTGGGGAGACATTTCAGTTACATTACGAAGGCAGTAGATTTAAGAATGTGTCACTTGACACATTGAAGCTGTTTTGTAATATACCACAAATGCCACGGTCTAGGGTTCTAAAATTCTTGCATATTAAGGATTAATTCTAAAAGCTGACCTATGTCAAAACTGACATTTCTGAAAATTAAATAAAAAACTTTTTTTTTCCATCTTACATATGAAGAAACTAAGCACTAGAGTTTCAAAAAGACTTGACAAGAGAACAAGACTTCTTTGGCTATATTTTTGCTTTTACCCTTTGACCCTCTTCACCCATTTCTCCCACCCATTTCTGGCAACCCCCCATTTCTGGCAACCACCAATCTGTTCTCTGTACCTATAAGCTTGTTTTTTTTTAATTCCACATATAAGAGACACCATACAATATTTGTCTTTAGATGTCTGACTTATTTCACCTAACGCAGTGCCCTTGAGGTCCATCTGTGTTGTCACAGATGCCAAGATTTCATTGTTTTTTATGGTTGACTAATAGTCCATTGTGTATGTGTGTGTGTGTCTGAACATGTATGTATATGCACACATACATATATACATACGTACACTCACAGACACACACAGTATAATTTCTTTATCCCTTCATTCATCATTGGACACTTAGGTTATTCTTAGGTTGTTGCCATATTTTGGCTATTGTAAATAATGCTATAATGAACATATATCCTTTTTAATTAGTCTTGTCATTGTCTTCAGATGAATACTCAGAAATTGAATTGCTAGATCATATAGCTTTATTTTTAATTTTTCCATACTGTTTTCTATAGTAGTTTCACCAATTTACATTTTTGCTAACAGTGCACACAGATTCCTTTTTCTCTGTGTCCTAGCTAGCACTTGTTGCTTATCTTTTTGGAAATAGCCAATCTAACAGGTGTGAGGTGGTATCTATTTGGTTTTAATTTGCATTTTTTGATGATTATGATGTTGAGCATCTTTTCATGTGTCTGTTGGCCATTTGCGTGTCTTCTGTAGAAAAGGGTCTGTTTGGATCTTCTATTTTTTAATTGGATTGGGTGTTTTTTTGTTTTTTGTTTTTTTTTTTACTTTTGAGTTGTATCAGTTCTTTATATAATTATCAGATATATGAAAACTCTGAAAACACACACACACACACACACACACACACACACACA